ACCGAAAATCGGTGAGATAACAGTAGCTGCTATCACTAAAAAAAATATTTTTCAGATCGGAAATTTTGTAGTTCAAAACGACGGTAGTCTGATCCATCAAAACCTAGCCCCGAATAATTTTACAAGAAACACGGAAACAGTTAACGATACAACTGGTCCATCAACATCACCATCTGATACTAATAATGTTACAACACCAGTCTTCAAATTTACGGTAAATATATTAAAAGGAATTTTTTCCTAAATGTTCAAAATTTTTGACCATTTTATGTAATAAACTAATAAAGTATTTTAAATTTTTAGCGTCATGCTGAAGAGACTCTTTTCTAACATCCACAAGGTGAATCATTAGTGAAAGCTGCAAAAGAATCTTTTACCGAAGAAAACAGAAGGGCTTTGATATGAATTATTGTTTCAGAACTGGTTAAAGTTCACAATGATAGTTAGTATGTTGAAATTATAATTTTTTTATTCTCAAAAACAATTTATTTACTAACTAGTAATTTCTAAAAGCTCTAATTTTTTTAATGTTGGGGAAACGTGACGTTATAAATGTTTACATGTTTCTATTAAAGACTAACTACCCAGTAAGAAGTAAGGAATTAATAAGAATTCGAAATTTTTAATTCTTTTGAATTTCGTTTCTGACCAATTCTTTTCATTTTCATTTGTAGGAGCCGAAAAGAAACTAAGTTTATTCTTTTGAATACCGTTTTAATATTTTAAGCGGAAAAAAAATTTGTCGGTTTGAAGATTTGAACCCTCAAGTTTCATTGTCGGAGACAAACAGCTTGTCCACTCAGCTATTTAAACTGTACTATGACCAGCGAATTTCAGAAGCACTTATCTCAAAGTGTTGCAAACTTCAGAGGAATTAAAAAATTACAAAATATTAAAACGGAATAGACAGGAATTGAACTTACCGAGTATCACAGAGTATTTCGGAATTCACAAAAAATTCAAAAATTAAAGAAATATTAAAACGGAATTGATTGGAATTCACATTCAAGAAATCTTTGCCTCAAAAAGGAATACATAGGAATTGGACAGAAACGGAATTAAAAAAAATTGATAATTTAACATTTTCTGTTAAGTAGATATACAGGGAGGGTTCTAGACACAGATCCCTGCACCGACATGTTACCGACACTTTTAGCCCAGACTCAAACCTCTTAGCCAAGACTCAAACCATGGGGGGGATATTCAGACTGTTATGCTGAACCGGATATGACGTCATACTTCCTAGAATTTTCGGGGGGGGGGATATTGAGATCATGATGCAAATGTGATTCTTGGAATTTATCTAATTTCTTGGAATTATAAAACAATCCTAGAATTTTCCATAGGGGTTGATGACTCAGAATTTTGGAATTTTTTATTGGTATTTCCTGTTTTTGTTTTTTGCAGGGTGCATTCTTTAACGATGACGCATAATTTCTTTGTTTTTTCGCAAAATGGGGTTGATGACTCATTATCATTGGAATTTCCTGTTTTTGTTTTTTACATGGTGCATTCTTTATCGATGACACATAATTCTTTGTTTTTCCCAAAATAGGGGTTGATGACTCAGAATTTTGGAATTTTTTATTGATGACTCATTATCATTGGTATTTCCTGTTTTTGTTTTTTTACCACAATTCTAAGAAAACCATAATTAACTTGAAGTAAAATTAGTCATAATTTGTGTATATAAAGAAGGCAATTTTTCTTAACAAAATCATTCCTGCAGTTTAAGTTGTTCAATCAACATATCAGAAAAACATCGTGAAATTCAAGTGCGCTTAAACATCTCGTTTTAAAAAAATCGCTATAGTTAAAAGTTTAATTTTAGTCTGATTGGAGTTAATCATTGTAGTGAAAAAAAATTGACAGTTTCAATACAAGTGATAAAAATGAATTTGGATAAATTAAATGCAGGAATTAAAGTTGTGGAAAGTGATAAAAGCTCAAGTTATTGTAAAAATTTTGTAACAATTATGAAGAATGCTTTTAAAACATTAAGTAAAAAAACTACAACAGAGGAATTAAATTTTTGGATAAATAATAGTGTAAAAAACATTAGATTACTGAATAAATTGTTAAGAAATGGATCTGTGTCATGTGGAGAGAAAAAAAAGATTCTGTCAACTATTGGACTATTGAAAGCAAATAGCAGAAAGTTTTAGAAACTAAGAAGAACAGGAACTGTTTTATTTAAAAAGGATGAGAGATGGATCAGGTGGGAAGGATTAGAGAATGCTTTTGAGAATCGAATTAGAACAGGTGTAGTTATTAATTTAAAACATAAAAATATGGACAGTTTTCTCAGTGATGCAAAGAAAATGATCATTTCTCGATTAAAAAATGCATTTAAAAAGATGGGAAACATGAAAGTTAATGTTGTTCTTGCGGCAAATTATACTGTTTTAGAAGAAGGTGAGGAAATTGAAGATATTAAATATTTTAATACTAAAAATTCAAAAATTTTAGAATCAACAAACTTTGATGAATGGTTTGATCATAAAATTCGTGAAAAACTTTTTGTTAAGATTGATGATTTTCAACAAAAAAAGTCAGGTTGGTCTTTAAATGAAATTATAAATTTAAGTGTTAATATAAATAAATATGTTCCTCTTGCGGCTGGATACTCAACTTTTATAAGAATGCCAAAATTTATAATCGATAAAAGAGCTGTTATTAATGTTAAAAATTTTGATAAATACTGTTTTTTATGGTCTATCATTGCACAACGTTTTCCAGCGAATAGTCACGTAGATTGTACAAGTTCGTATCCTCACTTTAAAGATACTGATTTAAAGTTTGATGATTTTGAATTCCCCATTTCTCTCAGCCCATTCTCCCCATTTTTCTCACTTCTCTCTTCCCCATTTTCTCTCATTTGAAAAATTAAACAATTTAAGTATTAATCTGTACGGAATTGATAAAAGCAGTAATAAAAAGAATGAAATTGTTCCACTTTATTTAAGTAAAAACAAATCAGATGAACCTACTTATCACTTATTAATGATTGAAAATACAGAACTTGATTTAGACGATGATGATGATGATAATAATTTTCAAATTAACAAAGTTTATCATTTTGCATTAATCAATAATTTATCTCGTTTAGTAAAATCTCAAATAACAAAAGATCGAAATCGAACCATACTTTGTGATAGATGTTTATGCCATTTTAAATATGAAAAATCATTTAATAATCATAAAATTGATTGTGATAAAATAAACATGTGTCGAGTAATTTTACCTAAAGAAGAGGATAAAATTTTAAAATTTAAAAATTACAGAAATAAAGAAAATGTCCCCTTTGTCGCTTATGCCGACACTGAAAGTCTCTTAGAACCTATAGCATGTACACACACAAACACATCAACATACCAAAAACATATCCCGACAAGTTTTGCTTTCTATGTACATTGCAATTTTAATGAATCTCTTTCAGAATTTAAATCATATCGAGGTCCAGATTGTGTTGATTGGTTCATGGCTGAATTAAAACAATTAGCTGAAAAAGCAAACTCTTATTTTACAAATATTATTCCAATGGAAAATTTAACTATTTTACAACAAATTCAATTTGACACAGCAACAGTTTGTTATATTTGTGAAAAATCTTTTGAAAATGATGACATTAAACACCGCGATCATTGTCATTTTACGGGAAAATATCGTGGTCCAGCACATCAAGGTTGCAATGTAAATTATAAAGATTCGCATGTTGTTCCCATAATTTTTCACAACTTGTCAGGATATGATGCACATTTCATTGTTAAAGCTTTAGCAACGTCTTTGAGGGTGAAATGAAACTGTTACTAATAAACAAAGAAAAGTACATTTCATTTTCAAAATATGTGAAGGGTACCAAAGTAGTATTAAGATTTCTTGATTCATTTAGATTTATGCCCAGCAGTTTAGACAAATTATCCTCCTATCTTGAAAATGATGAGAAAAAAATTACTAAAAAGTATTGTAAAAATATGGACGAGTTTAATTTATTGACAAGAAAAGGAATATTTCCTTACGAATATGTTAGTAGCTGGGAAAAATTAGAAGAAAGTCAATTGCCTCTAAAAGATTCTTTTTACTCTAAATTGAATGACTCACATATTTCAGACGAAGACTATGAACATGCTTGTAATGTATGGAAAACGTTTAATTTAAAAACAATAGGAGAATACTCTGACTTGTATTTACAGACTGACGTTTTACTACTTGCTGATATTTTTGAAAATTTTAGAAAAACTTGTTTTACAACTTATAACTTGGACGCGTTACATTACTATACTGCCCCAGGATTGGCATTTGACGCTATGCTAAAGTACACAGACATAAAACTTGATTTGTTGACAGATGTAGAAATGTTGCTTTTTATTGAAAAAGGTATAAGAGGTGGAGTTTCACAATGCTCAAACAGATACGCGAAAGCTAATAATAGATTTATGGAAAAAGATTTTAATCCTTTAATACCAGAATCTTATATCATGTATTTTGATATAAATAATCAGTATGGTGCTTCTATGAGCGAGAGCTTGCCATATACAGATTTTGAATGGTTAGAAAATTATAGAAATGACTTTTTCTTGAATATTCCAGATGATTCTCCAGAAGGATATATTCTTGAAGTAGATTTAGATTATCCAACTCAACTTCATGATTCACATAAAGACTTACCGTTATGCCCTAAACATTTCATACCTCCTCTCCCAAAATGTACAATTCCTAAATTAATTCCAAATTTATTACCAAAGAAGAACTATACAATTCACTATAGAAATTTAAAGCTATATTTATCTTTGGGAATGAAATTAACTAAAATACATAGAGTTTTAAAATTTAAGCAAAAGCAGTGGTTAAAACCCTACATTGATTTAAATACCGAGCTTAGAAAAAAATCGAGTAATGAATTTGAGAAGAATTTTTACAAGCTAATGAACAATTCCGTATTTAGCAAGACAATGGAAAATGTTAGAAAACACAAAGATGTTAGATTAATAACAAAGTGAGAGGGAAGGTGTTGCGCGAAAAATTTGATTGCTTAACCAAACTTTCATAGTTGCACCATATTCGATAAAGATATGGTCATTATTAAGATGAATAAAACAAAGGTATACTTTAACATACCAATTTACATAGGATTTACTATTCTAGACATATCAAAAATAATAACATATGACTTTCATTACAATTACATTAAAGAGACTTTCAGTGATTCTGCAAAATTACTCTACACAGATACTGACAGTCTTGTTTATCATATTACAGTGCCAAATTTTTATGATTATATTAAAAGAGATATACATAAATTCGACACATCCGATTATCCTGAAAACAACATTTATAATATACCACTTGCAAACAAGAAAATCCTGGGTCTTATGAAAGACGAAAATAACGGTACCCTCACAGCACCGAGATATTCAGGATATCCCAGAGACGTCCTGGGGATATCGATTTGTTTTCGGAAGTTTGGATATCTCTGGGATATCCTAGGGACGTCCATGGATATCCAGAGGATAATCCAGGGATATCCAAACTTCCGAAAACAAATCGATATCCCCAGGACGTCTCTGGGATATCCTGAATATCCCGGTGCTGTGAGGGTAAAATTGTAGACGAATTTATAGGTTTAAGATCAAAACTATATGCATTCAAGTTATGGGGTGGTGAGGAAGCTAAAAAGAAAGCAAAAGGGGTAAAATATTCAACTTTAAAAAAATAGGTTTCGATGATTTTAAGCATACTCTCAATGAAAATGAAAACCTGATCCGATCTCAGCACTTTATACGCAGCAAAAAACATGAAGTATTCATTGTCAAACAAAATAAAATTGCTCTAAGTTGGCAGGATGATAAAAGAATTTTGATACCAGGAAAAACTGGCACCTTTCCTTGGGGTTACCAACAGCATGATCCAATGGAAATAGATGAAATTGATGTATAAAATGTAAATATTTATTTAAAATGTAGTTTGTATTAGTTCTCTACTATTCACTTTATACAATTTTTACAATAAATTATATTTAAAAAAAATTGTAATTTATTATAATAAATATGTTTAAATAAATAAATGTATTCAAAATAAATGTCGTTTCTTATTCCTGAAAACAATAAGGTTAGGTTAGAAATAATAATTACCGTCCAATTGATATTTTATAATTTTATTGAGGAAAAAAATAGAATAGATTGTGAACTAAAATACTCAAATATTACAATTTTTGCAGAACCAAGTGTTACATCCCGAGCAGAAGGCGAGTTTGATAGGTTAGGTTAAATAATTTTGGAGGAATGGTAGGCTGATTATGGTCAAGTTGGTAAAGCTTGACCTTTATTTTTAAGTAGGATCGTTTGTACTTGTCAAAACTACGGGTTTTGAGTTACAACAACAATAAATATTCCCTTTTAACAATGTTTATTAAATATTCAAGTAATGTTTACAAAATTATACAATTGTTACTTACTTTTAATTACAGGTTTATTCGTAGATTTAAATTGAAGCGCTGGTCGATATTAGTTTGGTTTTCAGAACGTTGTTTCAATTGAATGAAACTGAGAAAGTTTGTTATGTTACACTTATGTAACTTTCACAACTTTAGTGTTTTTGCAATTGTTTCAAAGAATTAATACCGTTTCTAAGTGTTACTAATCGTTACTTGCACCTAATTATGGAAAGAAAACTCGTTTCTAAGTGTAAGAAAAGCAACTTGCACGATAATCGAGTACAACGCACACTGAATTGCCGATTAAAGAAAGAATTGGTAGTTAACTATAATTAATGAAACTTCATATGCAAAATACGACAGTAAATACATTTAAATTATTGATTCTAAGTGTTAACTTGCTTTTCTTGCACCTTTAATGGAAAGAAACTTGTTTCTAAGTGAAAAACAAATGTAACTTGCACGATAACCGAGTACAACGCACACTGAATTGCCGATTAAAGAAAGAATACAATAATTTTTAGTATAACTGAAGGGTCGCTCTACAATGGTTACAGGTCTATAAAACCGCACTGGAACTTTTGACAATTTGTGTTAAAAAGCTTTGCCTTATATACTATAAAATTATTAAAAAGTGGGAGAGTTTGTAGACAATTATGGGGGTAAAAGGTGTCAATTCTTTAGAATAATACTTATTCATTATAATTCTATTTATAATTGAGAAAAGAAGAAAGAATGCGATTTCGACAAATGATCTAAATATCTACCTCAATTATGGAAAAAGTGATGCTAGAGTTACAAGAAGTGATTCACAGAACTCGGGTTGCGTAATGAGGTCATAGCGGCTGAGTGCGAGCTTGCGTGAGTCACTCCTTGACTCAACGCATTGTTTCTTATTTTTGTCAATTTCTATCTCTGGTTTTGTTTTTTAATCATTATTCTAATATGTAGGACGAAGTATAGAATTTCAGTTATAACTTCTATCTCAATTTCGGAATATTAAATGCTTTTATCGTGTTTATTATATGTTATAAAAATAGTTACATCGCAGTTACATAAACAGTTTCTTAAAATGTACCCGGGATGTAACAGTCCTCCCTCCTTACTTTTTTCATCGTCTCGATGAAATTCTACTCTTATCGTTTAGATACAAAAGTCGAGACTTAAGAATTTTGAAATTGAGACTATCGTTTGTTGTCCTAAATATGAATTACATGTAGTGTTGAAAGTGATATCAATATCCTTGCGCTCTTCTTACATTTCGCGGCGCTTAGATAAGGATGGTGATGCGACTTATACAATGTGTTTGTTGTGTTATGATATGTGCTGTTTGTGTTGTCTTAATCATCTTCGTAAGGTACGTATGGATTTCTTCTCTCTCAGGACGGTCGTTGACTTTTTGTTTCCCATGATGGTGATTTCAAATTGTCAACTTCAGCATTTTGCATCCCTATAAAGGATGGTAGCACATGGAGCATCGTCAGTAATTATCTAACTTCTCGAGGTACGCACGTGTTATAAAAGTAAGAAGTGTAATCCTCTTTATTCCTTTTAGTGTTATAATTCGCATAAGTGTTTCTATTAGTGTTCTTGTTTTTGCTTTTTCAAAATTATATATATATATTTTTTGTTTATAGTGTCTGAAAAAGTTTGTTCTATAAAATTGGAGTCGTTTTTGCAATCCTTGCAAGTTCTGGCTGCTTCGATCCACAGTTCTATATCGGAGGTGGATTGCCTGGAGGCACTGGCGCGTCCTGGACGTCCGAAACGAGGAGGATACCGAAAAAAACTAGATATTAAGGCACGAAATGTGGAGCTACGTCGTTTAAAGACAGAAATTCAGGAGGATTCGGCACAATTGACTTCAATGTTGAATCTTGTTCTGTGAGTGTAATTTTAATTCCTTTGTGTATTTTATCTTCTTTCCTTTTTACAATTTCCTTTTCTTTTTATTTTATATAGTCGTCCAGATCGTCCGAGTCAATGCTATTGTGGAGGGTGTTCGATTTTACCCAATAAGACATTGAACTTGACAGGTGATTATATTTTTTTTGTTATACATCAAAAAATTTTTATTATATTGGTTCTTTCCTTTTGTTTTGATAATTTTATATGAAATTTTTCTTTTTTTGTTATAATAATTTTGTTGTTTATATTGTTTGTTTAGAACAATCTGTGCCAAGAAATTTTGTGGACACCATGGTGTGGATAAACGATGTACCGCAATTTATTTCGTCGGCCGAAATTGAGGATAAACCACTGGACCTTTCCATGAAGGCTTCCGTCTTAAATAAAATTTTTCTACCGAAAATTTCTGTGAAGGACATTAAGACGCTTATAGACGATCCTTTGTGGCTTGAGCCTGTGGTTAATGCTGCTCTTCAACCGCAAGCAGATCCCTCTTCTCAAGTGCAAGCAGGGCCTTCCTTTCAACCACAAGTAGGGCCTTCCTTTCAAATGCAAGCAGGTCCTTCCTTTCAACCAAAAACAGATCCTTTCTTCCAACCACAAGCAGGGCCTTCCTGGTATAGGGAACCTGAGGATGTAGAAATAATCCTGGAGGAAAATCGTTTGCCAAAATTGGTCCCAAGCAGAGTTGAATTGTGCATGTGCGGTTTGTGCAACATATAAGGTTTTCTTTTCTTTTCGTGTATTATGTTTTTTTTGTTTGTTATTTTTAATGTTTCGTGTTCAATTGTAATGTGTGTTTATATGCGTGTGTGTTTTCCATTTGTAGTATGAATGCGCGTGTGATTATTCCGAATAAATTTGACATTTTCTTATAAATTTTGTATACAATTATTTGTTTCGCTAAAACCTCTCTTATTCGTTCTTTTTACAATCGAAATTTCTTACTTTAAATTATTCACCTTCTTAGATTTCTTTTCTGTTATCAATTTATCTGTTTTTTACTTGTTTTGTTTTAAAATATTAATTTGAAAAACTTGTTCGATCACAATTCAGATTTTTCATTACAAAATATTGACTTTTTCTTAATATTTACCAAGTATTTATCCTTTTCTATCCCGTTAATAATTTAAATTCTTGCTATGAGTTATAATTATTTTATTTCAATCTTTGCAAATAAAATTTTTAATTCTATTATTTTTTTACACTTCCATTTTTAGTAATTGTCAACCAATTAAAGCTTAAAAACAATCATAAAATCAAACTTATAAAACATCATTGCTGTTCTAGTTACAATTAAAGGTAAGTAATTTGAATATACATTTTTTTTTTTTGAATTCTTATTTAACATAATTTATAATTTATCGGCAAAATTGCTAGTTTTATTGAATTTGTTGTCGTTAATATATAATTTCTTTTTTTAACTGTTTGCCTGATTAATGTTGGTAGTTTTTACTAGGAACAATTAATTAAACAATTATTTCAAAACTAATTCCATTCAAATATTACAAATGATAATTATTGAAAGAATTATTGCAATATATTTTGCAAAAATTCAGTTGTTTACAATGTATTTTCATTAGACTTGTGAAATGGGTAATTAGTTATTATAAAACAACATTTTTGGTTTTAATAGTTAATAATCAATAATTAATAATTAATAAATAATTAATAAATAATAATTAATAAATAATAATTAATAAACAATTAATAAATAATAGTTAATAAATAATTAATAAATAATAATTAATAATTAATAAATAATTAATAAATAATAATTAATAAATAATAATTAATAAACAATTAATAAATAATAGTTAATAAATAATTAATAAATAATAATTAATAAATAATAATTAATAAACAATTAATAAATAATAGTTAATAAATAATTAATAAATAATAATTAATAAATAATATTTAATAAATAATTAATAAATAACAATTAATAAATAATTAATTATCTAATTATTATCATTGAACAATTCTGCATTTGAAGATGTTTAAATAAATTGTTCATTTATCAATTATTCGATGATAATAACCTTAGAATGAAGCTATCCTAAAAGAAAGTAAAAGAAAATTGCAGAATTTGTGTTAAATTGCGTGTTAATAATGCATTTTAGAAGTATATGTCTGGCCGACATAATGGCGGGTCGAGCGGTTCTCGCTTCGCTCTGTATAAGGGGAGAGGCATGAGACCCAGCGAGCGAGCATTGGATAGTGGGCGTGGGGCCTTTCACTCCTCCGTGTAGCTGTTCGACTCCTCCCTCCTTATACTTGCCTGATACTTGAGGCTCGATTCGAGTCTTTCAAACGTCGTTATTTATTAATAATAATTATTTAAAATTAAAATTGATGATATCCTTAAATGTTAATCTATTTTCCTTAAAATTTACATTATTTTGGTATATGTTTATAGTATACCAAAATTTATTAATTAATAATAATAATTCTTTAATATCAATATGTAATAGCAATTTTATAATTATTAAATTTGTTAAATGTTAATTAAAGCAATAATTATATAGTGTGCTAGTAATTGATAATATTTTATTTAATTCTAGTAATTATTATTATTATTATTATTATTATTTTTTTTTTTTGGTTATTAATTAAATTATTAATTAATTGTTAATACATTAAAGCCATAGTTAATTATTAATCATCATTAATTAATAATTAAATTGTTTACTTATTTGGTATGAATATAATTTACAAATTATTAACAATATTTTCTATTATTATTATTCCTAATGTATTATTGTAAAATTTTTATTTATTTATTAGCTTAAAATTAGTAACAATATAATTAATTTATTAGTATTTTAAAGTGCATTAATTTTCAAAGCATATTGTATATTGATTAGTAGTCTTTTGCTAATAATGTTAAAATTATGTGGTTTTACGTTCGACTTTTCGTCATTTGAGAGCAAGAATTAATTTGAATTTGAATCATTTGCCGCTCTTTCATGATGGAAGTCGGTGAAGCATGCGCGTCTTACTGTTAAGCTGGAGGCACTTGCATGCATTGGTCACGTGGTTGAATGGAACCACTATCCGGCCATCGCGGTGTGCCATGCATAGTAAAAGAGGTGCGAGCACGGTCGATGTACAATCGATGCGTGCTTAAAGCTGGCGTTCTCATTTGAATGATGCTGTCTTATGCTCTATTCATTTTTATTTTTATTCTATTTTTGTTGTTTTTGGGCTTAAAATTGTCGAAATTTTTGCAGATTTTTAAGACATTTCCTCCCTCCTTAGACTTTACATTGTCCTCAATGTAAGGGAGTGATTGGACCCGTTTATTTTCATTTATTTCATTAATTTTGTACTATTGGTGTTTGGTTTCTTCTTCTTTTCCATCTTGTGGTTATTAATAAATAGCACAAGTACAGTTTTCTTACTATGATGATGATTATTATTAGTAAGAGTAGCTGAAAGAATAGTATGAAACCATCTTTAATTGTTGTGATGTAGTCTTTGGCATTTAAAATCCAACTTATAACGGGAATTTCCATTTTTAATTACAGATTTATTTTTAACAGATGTTATTTTATATCTATAATCTTTTTGATTATATATGATACGAAATTATATTTTATTTATTTATTAAAATTAGTTTATTGTTTAATTAGTTTATTAATACTGTATTATAATTTAGTTAATTTATTTTAATTGTGGGATTTTGTTATTATTATTTCATTAATTAATTTAATTATATTATTATGATTATGTTTATTTTATTATTATTATCGATTTTATTAAATAAAAGAGGAAAGAAGAAGGCAACCACCATTCCTCTTCCTTCTTTTCTTTCGTCTTTTATTTATGATTATATATTTATTTATTTATTTACATATATTTATTTTTTGTTTAAAAATAAAGAGGAAAGAAGAAGGCAACCACCATTCCTCTTCCTTCTTTTCTTTCGTCCTTATTTTAATGTTTTGTTTGGTTTATTGATTAAATTATAAAGATACATTTTTTTTTTTTTACATATATTTTATTGATATTATATATATATTCCTTTTATTATTATGGATAATTATATGGGTGATTAAATATTTTTCAAATATATGTATAATTTTATATTATCCTTATTTAATTATTTATTTTTATTTATTTATTTATTTATTTCCTATTAACAGTTAATTTATTAAAATTTTATACATGGTTTATTGAAATAACTGTTAATTGGAATCTATTGCGTTATTTTAGTCCCAGGGTAGGGTAGGAGCTGGTAAATTCCAAAATTCGTCTGAATCGTCAGATACGCTTGTTGTTGGATTTTCTTTTCTTAATATTTTCTTATTTCTGATTACGCTAAAGCATTGTTCTTTAATGTGCCCTCTTTTATAGCAATATTCACAACAGTTTTCCCATTTGAAAAGTTTTAATTTTAGTACTGATGGTTCGTCGTGGGACATTACATAAATTTTTCGTTTTAGGTTTTTGGGTCTTTCTTCTTCGCTAAAGAAATAAGTGTCATTTAATTCTTTTAGGATTATTTTGGCTGCTGAATGTTCCGATTCCCTAATTGTTCTGCACTCATTTCCAGTAGCAACAAACATGTTATTGTTCTTATTGTCTGTTACTGTGCACTTCACTTGCCACAATTTATTAAAAGTGGGTCCTGTGGTTTTGTCAACTATATAATTGGGTTTATTAAGGTTGTATTCTGCCGTTAATTCCTCGAGTATTCCTTTTGGATATGATATATTGTCTATGTTTCCTTTTGGAAACGTAGAAGCTGATACCATTTCTCCTTGTAGTGGTGGGGAGAAAATTATGGATTCGGACATCTAAAAATTAAAATCATGTTATTATTGTTATTCATATGCAATTTTTAACTTATCTACATGTTTTTGGAACCTGTGACCATCATCATTTATTAGAATAACATTGTTTTTGTTTAGAATATCCACAATTCTGTATGGACCATGATAATGAGGATCGAATTTTCTTTTTAAACCTTCTTTCATGACGTAAGCTTTATCACCGATTTTTCCTTGAAAAGGTTTGATAAATTTATCATACCTTTCTTTGGACTTTAATTTAGCATTTATTAGATTTTTAGCTGCTAGTGCTCTAATTTCAATTAATTTGGTGATAAGTTCAGTCAAATAGGAACCATATGTTTCTAATTTAATTTCCTGAGGAAAAGAACTAGGAGAGCGAGCAGTTTTTTCCAAAAACTAACTCATAAGGGGTAAAATTGGTGGCTTCATGCACGGATGTATTGTAGGCAAACATTGCAAAGGGCAGTAGTTTGTCCCAATCGTCATAGTCTTTAGTGTATTGTTTTATATAGTCGGCTAAAACGGCATGACTGCGTTCTAAAGCGCCGTTTGTTTGGGGCCTATAACCAGAGGTTGTAACTTGTTGCACTTTGAAAATTTTGGATAATTTTGACATTAATTTGCCAATGAAAGAAGTACCTTTATCTGTTAAAATTACCTTTGGGGCTCCATACACTGAAAATAATTCTTTTGCAACAGCATGAGCAATAGTAGTTGCTGAAATATCTGGAATTGCAATTGCTATACAGTATTTGGATAAATGGTCTTGCATCGTGAGAATATGACAATTTCCGTCTGGGGTTGTAGGAAGTTTTCCTACCGTGTCTAGTGAAATTTTGTCAAAAACATCTAGGGGTGTATCTGTTATAATCATAGGTTCTCTAGTTTTTGCTCTAACTAATTTTTGTGTTTGACATGTGGGACATTTTCTTACAAATTCTGTCACTTGTTCCTTTAATCGTGGCCAATAAAACTTTTCGCGAATTCTTCTATATGTTTTCACTATTCCTTTGTGTCCTGCTATTTTACTTTTATGGAATTCACTTATGATATCTTCTCTATTTTCTTCTTTAGGAACAGATACTTGTCCATAGCACATAGTTATATTAATGTTGCTATTGTAGAAAACTGATTCAATAATTTGACTTAGTTCTCCTTTTAACAATTCGTCTGTGAAG